AAAGTTGAAGAGAGGCTCAAAAAAAGATACTTCACAGTTTGGTTCGAAGCCCAGAAATGCTCAAAAACAGGGCTAATATCTCATGCAAAATAAGCCCCAAAAGAGGGATAAAGCACAAAGGGGGAGTAGAAGACTTCAAATAGAGAAAAGTCCTTAATCAAACATGAAGATGAGCTCAAAATAAGACTTTTTTTAGTTCAGGATGAAGCCCAAAAATGTAAGAAAAAAGGGCTAAGATACAGAACAAAATAGTGCAAAAATGGGGAGAATAGGAGCTTACCCTTGTAGCCTAACTTTCCAGCAGCCTTTGGTCCAAGGAAATGAACTTTCAACCTCTACAAATGACTTCCAAGGGGCTGGAATGGATGATGGTGGTGTGGTGCTATGGGTTGTAGTGTAATTGGACCAAAGAAGTTAGGGTTTTGAAGCTTGGAACAGTAGCAATGGAGGGAGAGGTGTATATGCCTTAAGCAAAAGTGTCTAACCCCTAGATACAAAGAGGAGGGCCTCTCTTATAGAGAAGAGAGGCCAAAGCTTCTCTTGGAAGCTTCAAAGATCCTCCATACACGTGTATGCAGGATGCACCAAATGATCTCCAGCTGGCACAACTGGATTACACTCAAAGAGAGGAAAAGCAATAAGCAGGCCGGCCAGTTCAAGTGGCCGGCCGGCCACTCCCCCTGGTCGGCCGACCAGGGGTCAAAAGGTTCAAGAACAATTGCTGGTCGGCCAACCCAGAAAGGTGGCCTCCCAGATGAGTAGAACACAGCCCTGTGGAGAAAAACCAGAAAATGTGACCTAGGAGAGAGAAAAGCTAGCTTTTTAACAAGGTTCAAAAGGGTCAAGAAGAATTACTGGTTGGCCTACCCATATTGGTGGCCTCCCAAATGAGTAGATCACCATGGTGGAATGAAAAGCCAAAAAATGTGGCTCAAAAGTGAGAAAAACCAGCTTTCTGTCAGAAAAATTGACTTTTGGAGAGAGAGAAAATGAGAAAATTGGCTTTTCAGGGGAATAGGAGGCCGGCCACCATCCTACCACTTCCCTAACAGTGAAAATAGGGTCCCCACCAAAAATGGACTAAAACGGATGCAAACGAAGGTTTGGGGGCCAAAACGCGCGGCTCGGGCCCCCGAAAACAGGCTGTTAGGCACCGGAAGTGGCGTATGACCACAAAGGTGGTCTCCCGGGCCACAGTGTTCCTCTAAAGGGAGGAAATAAGATGTGTGCCAAAAATCGGAGTAAACAGAGGTAGTTTGGCGGTCCCGAACTGAGGCACACGGCCGATGGCTCCGAAAGCCAGAAATCGGGCTCCAAACGGGAAAAATGGCCTACGACCATGAAACGTAGCCTACGGCCACTGAGAGATGGTCTACGAGACCTCTCCCTCCCCTCGGGAAGAGAAAACGGAGAAAACAAGACTCGATTCGCAAACCGAGGCAAGGCACAAAAAGAGCCCCGAAGTCTGGAGGCAAGGCTCACAGCCGAGACTCTGAAACCTCAGAATGAGCCCAACATGCAACATCACCGAGCACTCAACTGGTGACGTCTAAGTCTTAAGGTCGGTCAAAAATGGGGTGTCTACAGTTGCCCCTCTTTGACAGAACTCGGAAGTCACACGTGACGGGAGTGAATGTCAAAGCCCAGAGACGACCCATTTTTGACGAGGCCAAAGACTTAGACAAAACATACAAGATAACAAAGATATGCCCGCAGGCATGCCCGCAGGCAGGGGCAAAATGCAAAATGATATGCACAAAGCCAAATATAACTCATGATTATGCAAAGCAGCAAGCTATAATGAAGCGCACGCGTAACAGTTTTAAGCAAGAATGCAAAGCAACAACTACATTTCATGCAGTAAGGATGTAAGAAAATTATGGAATCTCAAAAGTGAACGAAGTGTGATAGATACATAGACGGAGTAAGTGTGTGCAATAGACACACAAAGCGAGTGTAGTGATAGATACACTAAAGTGAACATGTGATGAATACACAAGGCGTGCGTGTGATGGATACACAAAGCGAACGTGTGATGGATACACAAAGTAAACGTGTGATGGATGCACAAAGCGAGCGTGTGATGGATACACGAAGTAAACGTGTGATGGATACACAAAGCGAGCGTGTGATAGATACACTAAGGGTAAACACAAAGTGTGACAGATGCACTTAGTGAACAAAGTGTGATGGATACACAAAAGGTGAACACGAAGTGTGATAGATGCACTTAGTGAACAAGTGTGATGGATACACAAAGGTGAACACGAAGTGTAATAGATGCACTTAGTGAACAAGTATGATAGATACACTAAAGGTGAACACGAAGTATGATAGATGCACTTAGTGAACAAGCGTGATGGATACACAAAAGGTGAACACAAAGTATGATAGATGCACTTAGTGAACAAGTGTGATGGATACACTAAAGGTGATCGCGAAGTGTGACAGATGCACTTAGTGAACAAGTGTGATGGATACACAAAAGGTGAACACAAAGTGTGATAGATGCACTTAGTGAACAAGTGTGATGGATACACAAAAGGTGAACACAAAGTGTGATAGATGCACTTAGTGAACAAGTATGATAGATACACTAAAGGTGATCGCGAAGTGTGATAGATGCACTTAGTAAACAGAGTATGATAGATATACTAAATGTGAACACGAAGTGTGATAGATGCACTTAGTGAACGAGTGTGATGGATACACTAAAGGTGAATGTGTGATAGATACACAAAGCGAGCGTATGCGATGGATATACAAAGTGAACGAAGTGTAATTGATACACTAAGTGAATGAAGTGAAGTGTGATTGATACACAAAACGAGAATGTATGTGATAGATATAGAAAATGAGAATATGTGTGATAGATACACTAAGTGAAGAGAGTGTGATTGATATACTAAATAAATGAAGTGTGATTGATACACTAACTGAATGAAGTGAAGTGTGATTGATACACAAAATGAGAATGTGCGTGATAGATACAGAAAATGAGAATATGTGTGATACATACAGAAAATGAGAATGTGCATGATAGATACAGAAAATGAGAATGTGTGATTGATATACTAAGTGAAGAGAGTGTGATTGATACACTAAATAAATGAAGTGTGATTGATACACTAACTGAATGAAGTGAAGTGTGATTGATACACAAAATGAGAATGTGTGTGATACAGAAAATGAGAATATGTGTGATAGATACAAAAAATGAGAATGTGTGTGATAGATACAGAAAATGAGAATGTGTGATTGATACACTAAGTGAAGAGAGTGTGATTGATACACTAAATAAATGAAGTGTGATTGATACACTAACTGAGTGGAGTGTGATTGATACACTAAATAAATGAACTCAAACGGAACTTCTTTGAATGAATCGTACATACAATATCGTGCATGAATGAGAAAGAAGCTTGATAGGTACAGTGCAATATAATGCATGATATTTAAGGAACGCAATAAATAAGCGTAGCGGCGCTTTAGAAAGCACCTCATGGGGTGAGTGGCGATGAACTGCTCTACTCTGATGGGGATCTCCCCTTGTGCTCTTCGAACACTTACCTTCAACTTACAGTACAAAGGGTTTGAAATACTGACAAGGGTTCTTCACGTAGAAAACTTTGGATGCCGCCTTTCTTCCTGATCATATTCACAACTTTCCCTATTCTCCAACGGGGTGACAGACTAGGTTGGTTCGGTATCCAGAATTGAGGTGCATACACGCTATCTCAACCTATGGGGCTTCCATACAGATTTCAAGCCGAGGACAAGCCTCTAGGTATTTAAACCAGACTTTAGTCATGGAAATCCCGAACCTTTGCATTCTAGGCAACAGCCATTCGAACTCTAGTTTCCACCGTCGCAGTTGGTCTCCTAGGAACTCATTGCAAACATGGCCACGATGCCTCTGGCAGGGAATGGTACTTAGGGAGAGCACTTTTGATCGCCATTCTGGCTTGAAGCAGACTTGATCTTGAGCTTGAGGTAGAGGCACACTCGTACTTCGGAGCATTAGCAAGACCTGAAAAGGTACACACGGAATGTAATCTCGGAACTTACTGAAGTTGAAACAAACTCAGATACCCGACATTTTCCCTTTTTTTTCTTGCGTTGTAGTCTGTAACCCATATAGCTTCAAATAGGTCCTGGCTTTACTGTTCTGACAT